AAAGAGAGAGAGAGAGAGAGAGAGAGAGCGAGAGAGAGAGAGAAGAGAGAGAGCGAAGATATTAAAAGAAGAGAGACAAAGGGGAGACAGAGAGGAAAGAGAAGGGGATACGGCATGATGGGCCAGGAATAAAACAGTGGATGAAGACACACACACACACACACACACACACACACACACGCACACACAAGAGAGAGGGGGAGGGAGAGGGAGGGAGGGAAGTAGAGAGACAGAGAGAGAGGGAGAGAGAGAGAGAAAGACAGAGAAAGAGAGAGAGAGAGAAAGATGTACAAATAGAGAGAAGGAGGAGAGATAGAAATGTAGATGGATAGAGAGAGAAGGGGGCAAGAGAGTGATAAAGAGACAGATACACACTTACACACATACACAAAGAAAGAGAGAGATATAAATTGAGAGAGAGAGAGAGAGAGAGAGAGAGAGAGAGAGAGAGAGAGAGAGAGAGAGAGAGAGAGAGAGAGAGAGGGAGAGAGGGAGAGAGAGAGAGTAAGAGAGAGAGAGAGAACAAATTTCGAAAAGGAAGAAATATTTCGAGAATCATTGAAAAGTCAGTGTTACCTGACGCTGGCTTTACCTCAGAGACCCCACCTCTTATTTTAAAAAATAAATATATATATACCTGATATAATATAGATAGATAGATAGATAGATAGATAGATAGATAGATAGATTGATTGATAGATAGTTAGATCTAGTGATACTTTGCCGTTCTTAAACGCATAGGAGATCTTCGTGATATGGCTTATTTATTAGTCCTTTCATCCTATGTACAACCTAATACGCTCTTTACGAGGGAAGACATTAGGGCTCCAGCTTTCACTAATGAAAGTGAGTGTACGTGTTATCCAAGTTCATATCTCTTTCTGAATCCAGAAGTAGAAGCGTTCTGGAGTTTCCTTGTCTGTGGTGAGATGGAAAACCGTGCTGGCGGGTAGTGGGTGCTCTGGTGTGGTTTGCTCCTTGTTTCCAAACAACCATCTATTGTCGTTGTACCTCTTTCTTTTCTTTGTAAGTTGCACTCTAGTGACCCTGCTAATCTTCGGCACGTATGTAACCTATTTGTGTTGCAAGTGTCGAACAATCCTGAATAAAACTAAATTAAACTAAAGGAGACAGGAGTTGATTCATATATTTTAGGTTACATTGTTTTTTTAAAGGATTTTCTCAGATCTGAAGGTAATCAGAGTACCGGTATAAAGAGCGCAACAATAGCAGTTAGATAGTAAATATAAATCTATAAATGAAATCCTTACCCTTTTTAGGAAAGTAGCTCCAATTGCCGAGGGATTTGTAATACATTCTGCCAGGTCAGCAGAAAATTGACTGAAAATATTCGGAAAGTGGAAATTATGATAAGTTCCCTGAAGAACACACACAGTCAAGTGAGCAGCAGACCTAAACCCGCTCATACACTCAGACACACACACACACACACACACACACACACACACACACACACACGCGCGCGCGCCCAAACAAACAAACGCACACCATAATATGCACCCATGTATTCACCCGGCGCCACCCCTCACTCCCGTAACACGCATTATACTCCCCTCCCTCCCCTGTCTTTAAAACACACACACACACACACACACACACACACACACACACACACACACACACATACACACACTCAGATATACACAGGTACACACTACACATATTATTCTCAAAAGTCATACTGTCACACAACCAAACACAACCCGCACCTGTCATGGAAGTTGAAGATCTCAGAGATGTTTGAGAAGACGCTCTCGGCACTCTCCGCCACAGCCTCAGGCACCGACTCGCTGCTGGAAGCGATGTGCTCCACATACTCCTCGATTAGTGACTTGAGGTCCTTCACGTATTCTCGCTCTGTTTCCTCCAACTCTTTTAGCAGGTACCTGTCAGTTTGGGTTCAGGACGGGGTGGTGGTCACATTAGACGAACATGCTTTAGTGTCATTGAAAAAGAGATCGTTATAAAGGTGATGCATACAATAAAGGCAGAGTGGAAGGGGGGATACGTGTATGCATGGTGACGAGTTGTACGGGGGGGGGGGGGGGGAGGAGAGAGAGAGAGAGGGAGAGAGGGAGAGAGGGAGGGGGAGAGAGAGAGAGTGAGAGAGAGAGAGAGAGAGAGAGAAAAAGAGAGATCGAGAGACTGGGACACACACACACACACACACACACACACACACACACACACACACACACACACACACACACTCACACACACACACACACACACACGCACGCCCGTGCGCCCACACATCTGGGCAGAGCGTTTCAAAGTGTGACAGAGAGACACAGAGAGAGAGAAAATAGGTTGTTAAAAAGGGTGAGTGGGTTGGGGATATTATGGTCGAAAGGGTTCTGCTGATGGTAGATCAAAATACAGACATAATGGAACTTAGCTTAGATTATCGGTTCAAATGGGAAGACGATTATGCAGGTTCTGGAGGAAGTTATTATCTCTCTTTGGATGACCCAATAGAACAAGTAAAATCCCGTTACTTCACACCAACAAAACAATGTACATTAGAGCCAGTGCCCATTCCATTTGTTTCCCAAAAATGTGTTACTTGTTCAGTTATTTGTTTTTGGCACATTTAAAGCTCAATGTGAAGCTATGGTTAAGTAAATGATTTCTTAGACTTTAGGTAAAGTGTGCAGCAAACAGTTTTGAAAAAAAGAGTAAGGTGCTTGAAAGCAAAAAAGTATAAACAAAAGAGGGAGTCGAGCAATGTTTCAGACTGTATTTCTATTTCTCTAAAATGTAACGAATCGAACAGAAACGTCAGGATCTAGAACTGCAAACAGTGCTGTTGTGAATCAACTTTCTTTTCTAATATCATATCCACGCCGAAAGAAGTATAAACCAAAAAGAAAAGGGTGAAATGATTAATTGACTAACGTAAATGTGAAAATGGGAAATTGAAAAGGAGGTGAATGAGAGAGAGAGAGAGAGAGAGAGAGAGAGAGAGAGAGAGAGAGAGAGAGAGAGAGAGAGAGAGAGAGAGAGAGAGAGAGAGAGAGTGCAAAAGTTAACTACACAAATTCTGATAAGTATAGCATGGCCATTTGCGTCTTGACCGACGACTTCAAACCATGAAGTTCTCTACCCAAGTAAAGGGAGTGTGTTTTCTTGTCCAGTGACTCCTTCAATAGAAAACATTTTATTTTAACAAGCACTTTTTTGTTGGCTTCTCTTTTTATTTTTGAACCAGTCTAAAGTACCATCTTCTGACAGTCACCTGAACATCTATATCTTTTACACATGTCTTTTGACTGACATTAGAAGAATTTTAGGGACTGTCAGCATTTGAAAAAAAAAATATCCTCAGCAACGTGCTTCTCTGATTGTGGGCATCTAAACTTATTAGAACTGCGGTATTTTTCTTAAATATTCAATATTTTTGTCTCCCATCTGATTGTAGCTTTACGGGGGTGTGTGGAAGAATAAATTACCGTAATAATCATTTTACGGAACCGGTTAGTTTGCAACACTAATGCGATAACAAAATTGTGAAGAATATAGAGATATAGAAGATCACATTTATTTATTTATTTATTTATTTATTTATTTATTTATTTATTTATTTATTTATTTATTTATTTTATTTATTTATTTTTTAAAATATTTTTTTTTTTGGGGGG